CATGTTCGCTTTCCCAACCCCGAACCTGTTGTAATTGACCTTGATTTGACCTTTTGGTTTATGGGCCACAAAACCAGGTTGGCGGGGTTGGAAAGCTGGGACCATGACACAAAAACCAGTTGGTTCAAAGCCAGCTTTCAAAGTTCAAAGTTAGAACTGGTACCCCGACACCTCCCTGGAGCATTTTAGGAGAAAGAGGGCACCAATTCTTGTTATGCTTGATTTTGGAGGGGTTTACCCCTTTCAAAAAAGGGAAACAGGGCACTGGGTGGGGGTTCATTGTGGCATCAACTTGAGACTCGGAGCGGTTTCCGCGTTCAACGGATCCTTGATCCTCTCATAAAACAGTTGGCTTCTCCCCTACAAATTCTGTGTGACCTAAAACCGTCACTCCCGGAAGACTTTCCTTTTTGAGGGGACCCATCAAATTCAGGCCCCAGCAGTGTCGATAATGGCGGCCGCGCAGAAGAGATTGCTATTGTCCTCATGGGAGGCACAGGGATTTTTAGCATCAAGTAGCATAAGGGCTCTAACCATTGAAATTCACATGTGGGGCACAGAACAAATTAGTGACATCATAATCATAGGAACGGGTTCGCAAGCATTTTTGCTGTCATATTAACTTGTTGATTCATTGTGTTTCTTGCTTACCTATCATAGTTTTGTGGGGCACCTCATGGAAAAATATCCTGACTAGTCATGAACAACTCGGTTTAACAGACACATAGCATCAAATCAGTGGCACACAGTTCATCATGTTCACGACAAGCTGCTTCACCCACCATGCCAACTGGGTTCCCGGTGTTGGGGTTTAGGGTTTAAACCGCCATGTCACAAACATGTCGAACGCCTTCTTGGTGCAACCCAACAAAGTGGCTGCGTTTAAGGCGTTTACCTGAAACAGGAACCTGTGGTTTTTTTGGTGTCCGTTTACGGTGGAAGGTAGTCTTTTGCTGGCTTCCTCCTGATTTTGTTTGCCTCTCCTTGAGCAAGAAAGCTAAGTCTCGGAATGACGTAAGCAGATGCTGTTCAGTTCCAGGAACCAAACCTTCGGCGGTGTCACGCGTCTTTGCCTCGCTTCGACCTATGTCCAGCTCCCTGAAATCCAGCGTTTCCGCGTCGGCCAAAACCCCACAGGGTTTTCTGAAGTTTGACAGGCGAAATCTCAACATATGCCAAGAGCCTGGCAATCCAGACCTGGGAACATGGAATGCGGCATCCATATCAAGAGGGGGTGTACCTGGGAGTGTCGAGGGCTCCTGGCTTCTGGGGCTCTTAAACCCATGGCCGCGCAACGGGTCTGATGTTGTGTTTCTATGGCTGTCAAGGGGGGCCAACTCAACTCCCCAATCCCAACAGGCGATCCCAAAAACCATTAGGTCTTGAAGCCTCTTGGGAAATTCCACTGGAAACTCCTTGACAACCACAGGGTAGGTTTTTTGTTGCTGGGGACTCTTTGGTGAATATGATCCTGAGTTATGTCCACCCCCCACTGTTGAGGGGGTGCCCTATAAAAAGTCATAGCCACAAAACTGCACAGCTCAATGGGCTCCCTGTTAAACTCATACTGAAGATTCAAGCTCTACAGCAAGTTAGGCCAAACCCTGGCTTTTGGTGGGCATTTGGTTCGCTCAGAAAGTCCTGAGATTTCAGAAACTGGTTAATGTCACCTTGCGCAATCTGAAATGAGTCTCTTGGAATGGGGTTCCAACCATCAAACCTCAAAGCCTATCGCCGGGTTGCTCTTTCCCCTTGAGCAAAAGGCCTCATTTTAGGCAAGGGAAACCAAGAAACCCTTGGGGTTACACCAAAGACCTCTTCAAGCCCATCCAAGACAGGTCCCCAATCACGTGCAAGGAGCGGTGAGCGGTTCCTGCACGTGAAGCAGCAGTAATACAAAATTCAACTGCAAACGTTGACAACAATACAAAGAAACAACTGGGTTCCCCTTGAACCCCATCCAAGAGAGGCCCCCCCCGCTATAGGTGGCCTTTTGGAAACATAGATGGCCCTGGTAAATGGAAGAACCCCCCCCCAAAGCAGTGCCATCTATTCTTAAATCAAACTAACCTAAAAAGGACACCTATGCCCCCACATCTAGGGCACCCCCCCTCACCCCCAACCCCCCCCCCCGACCCCCCACCCTCCCTGCCCCCCGCCCCCCCCCCCACAACCGGGTGGTCCTTGTCCAGCAGCGCCGGGCACCCGGCGATGGAGAACAAGAGCCCCGAGGAGGCGAAGGTCACGGCGCCTACGAGGCCGCTCACGTCCACCGTGCAGGCGATCCTCGGCGGGGGTCGGGGTTGGGGGGGAGCGTGTGTGTGTGTGTGTGTGTGTGTGTGAAGAGAAGTTTAGGATCTACATTTACATAAATATGTATCATAGAATCATATTGGTTCGAACTGGGTATACACAAATGCATGCATTGCATTGCGTTGCATTGCGTTGCATTGCGTTGCATGGATTGGGTGGGTGGATGGATGTACTTATGTATGTATACATGTATGCATATATGCATGTATGTACGTATGCACGTATGCACGAATGTACGTATTCAGGTACGTACGTATTCGACTTGAAGGAGTGGACGGCTGGATTCTGGGGCTTTCGCATTCGACGCCTTCCTCGGAAGCCAAGACGCTTGCCGGCTTCGCCCTCCTTCCGGATGTTGTCATCTGTGCAATGAAGCGTGGCCTCGCGAAACATCTTGCACAAAGCGAAGAAAAATATGCCATATTGTTTTTGTTTAACGGAATCGTGCTTGCTCGGTGTTCCCTGTTCGTTCGGAGTTGGCATGGATGGTGCTCCTTGGTAGAGCTCCAACTCATTGTCAGATATCGAGAACCAAAGGCTTCTTTGGGTTCTGTCTTCGCAATGGGCTCACTTCCGCAATCCACCGCTTATCGTCCCCAGAAGAGACAACTCAGTGACTTGGAACACCCACCCAACGTGACAAAAAAACCCAACCCCCAACAACAACCCGTGACCCGCGCAAGCCACGAAGGTCATGTCTACTAACACATGAGTATTCGAAGGGCAAACTCGCTGGCGACGGGCGAAGAATATTAAACACCCAAAGGTCAGACGTCGTTTGGTTGCAAGCTACAAGCAATGTCAACTTTGGAATAGGGAACATCTGAATCTGAGAAATTCCCCGTGGAAACAGCCCTGAAATGTTTGGCCCTCAGACTTATCCTGAGAGTTGCAGGGCTGATCCAAACGCGCTGTCGCAAAGGTAGACAAACGGTCCCTGGCAAAGAACTATAACAGAACCCAATCTGCGAATGTTCCATCCACAGGTGGTGTTGTGGTTGTTTTCTCGTGTGCTCTGTTCGGAGCAACCTTTTCAGCGTGTGGTTGTTGAAGTTATTTTGGTCTGCATTGTTGGATGGTGTCATTTTTCCTCTTGGTCTTTTTGACTCAACCGGTCTTTTAAACAACAAAAACAAACTTGGGGGGTTGCCCCGGCGAAACCCCAGCAGTTGGCCTTTTTTGGCTTGACTCCTATGCGCCATCCGGGGCCCTTCCGCCCCCGGATGTCCGGATCTCCTGGGCCACGGAGGTGCCGACACGGGCGAGCCAGAAGGCCGTGTGGCCCACGTCGAAGAAGCAGGCCGCATGCGCGGCGCTCCTCGCGGCCTCCGGTGGCCCAGAAAACGCTCGGAGTCTCCTGTAACGAGTCATAATCAAAACCCTTTGTATTAAAAATGGTCTACCCAGAACCATATAAAGAAGTAAGGAGGCAGCCGCAACTAATTCTGGCTGGGACTTTCCCTTACTAACCTTCATCTACCCGGGTTTGAAAATGAGTTGCTTCTTGGGTTCCATGTTCATTTGAAGGGAAGTACTTGCAACGCTTGACCACCGGTACTTCCAAGGGGGGACAGTGCTGCGATGCAAGCCGATGGAGTGCATATCTGCCGGCTCTCAGGGAATGAGCTGGAATGACCACCGGACCAAACTGAACCATCCAACTGCACTCATTCCCCAAATCCTTGCAATTCCCTGAGTGCCAACAAATTCAACGGAAAACCTCAGACCAGTATGAAATTTCCTCCAAAAATGGCCTGAAGGTCAAAATGATAGCCAAATCCCAGGCAAGTCATAGTGGGCGCCGCCGCTTGAGATGAAACGACGAGGGGTCTTGACTAAGCCTTGCGAAATGCTCAGGGCAGCAAAATAAAACATATCGGTTTTATTTTACGTCACCAGCCATGTTTCTGACAGTGTTGAAGGATGCTTCCTTGGTTCCGTGCTACACTGGGGCCCATTTAGCCGCAGGAATGTGAACCCCGGAACCCCGTTTCAACGGCTTCAATACGCATTGGTAAAACAGGCTTGGTTCGGTTCCTTGTGGGAAACCACCCATGTCAGGGCTCAAGAACACGAGGGTCTTCCTCGGGTACGTGGACGGCTTATCCGAAACCGGCATTCGCCACGGGCATTCGGCTTTCTGCCCATCGACTTTGGCTCACATAGCAACCAAGCACTCGAAGAAACAGTTTGAGCATGATTGCAAACCTGCAAATTAAGATGAAATCCAAAAAGGGGGGTCCGCGAAACGGTGTTCCCACACTAATCTGCAGAAGAGAAATTGATTTATTCGGATGGAATGACTCGAAGTTGAACCATCTAAGAAGGTCATCGGTTTCACACGTTTTGCACGGTCTCCGGTGCCGTCGCACTTCATCTGCGAATACCCAGCGATTCTAGTGGAAGGTGTGCAATTACAATTAGGAGAAGCTGACTCACCTTGGCAAAACAGCCCAAGGTATAAATCCCCTATCCTGGGTCGACGTGGGTGCCGCACTAGTGGATCCCGGCCCCTCACAGGACGCCAAGGGTGATCTCACGCACTTCGCAAGCTCGCGTCTTTTCTCCACGTAGCACAATGAGGTTCCTACATGAAGTCCGATCTGCCCGGGTCATGTCAGAAAAAAAGCGGTCAATGCTCACAAACCAACCACAAAACAAAACATCTCTTTCAAATATCCAAGAGCTGCCAAATCATGGCTGATCTAACTCCAGTGTGCAACTAGAATCAATGTTTACAAACAGTTGTGCGAATAAAGAAGCCGGACTGGGTAAGAAACAGCCTCAATGGAGGCACAGTTCTGCAGGTAAGTCCCCAAGTCTTCCTCAAGTTTTCCCTTCCCTGTCCTTCTGCTTCTTTGCTTCTCTACAGGTCTTTCTCTCGGGATCCACTGGATATGGCTGAGTCAGATTCGACGCCCGAATCAACGCCGCAGTTGTGTTCCTTGTCTCATTGAGACACCCCTGCATGAAATGAGAGCGCGGCAGTCCCCAGGCACGCCAACGCGTTGAACCACATGAACTTCTTGAACACGTCCTGTCTCATGATGCAGAAGTACGTATTCCTCGGGAGACGGGCATACTAATAAAGCTTGGCAAAATGCATCGAAGCCTGGACCAAACTCAGCCACGAGAAAGCAAGAACAGGGCTGAAAAAGAAACAAGACGATCCAGCTCAGACCACACATATCACTCGGATTCAGGGCCGACTATCACCTGTGTGCCTTGAACTCAAGCTTCAAGCTGCATATGGTCTGAAAAAGGGAACCAAAAGGAATCCAAGCACAGTGATCAATGAGGGTTCGAGGCCTTTCAGCCCTCTGGCAGCTTCAAAGCCATCTTTTGCCAGGGGTCCATCTGAGCGGCGATCAAAACCGGATGACTTTTGCTCTACCAGGATTCTACCAACATTTATACATTATGGGCCTTCTGGGCTTTGTGAGTTCAGGTGGAACCTAACATGGCACTCCAATGGGGTTTGGGCGCTGCTCATCACTTAACTTGTTGGCGCTCAGCAGGGAATGAGGGTGGGATCCCTACAAGCAATCCCTGTTGACTTCTTGTAAGGTTATCCCTGTGTTCCTTTCCCGAAAACCAGCAAATTGGACAAACCCAAAGAACAAGTTAGGAAGTTGGCGCAGATCCGCGACTTGGCATCAGACATTTCACAAGAGTTGGGTCTTTTGGCTGTCGAATGGCACATGTTTTTGCGTGGACGTCTTTTCATATGTGCGGCATTATGTTTTCTGTATCATAGGCTCCTTTAGAAGCAGTCCAGACAACAAAAGGCCAAGCATTCGCCTTGCTTTTCCTTTTCTTTCTGGGGGGAAAAGAGGGAGGATGGGAATTCCCAGGTAAAAGCCTTGGCCTCTTGCTTTTGGATGGAAACCAAAGGCCGTGCTAACAGTACAACTAAAATGCAGCCAATGCTAAACTTAATATTCCCAATGCTCAGTTCAACGCTCGGAATCCAAGATTAAGTACTGCCAACGTAACGTTTAATATTGCCAATATTTGCCAATACCAAATTAAATATTGGTTGATCTAAGATTACGCCTTGCCAATGCTACATTGAGTATCGGAGATCTAAGATTAAGCTTTGGCAATACTAAATTAAGCGCTGGACACAAACAGTATGGGCAATACTAAGTATGATCAACCGTTGCCAATGCACGATTCAATATTACCACTACTAAATTGAATACTGGGAACCTAAGATTGCGTGTTGGCTGGCATCACCAACTTAGTTGTTGGATATCTAAGATCAATGATTGGCGATAGGTATTCAAATACCGGAAGTCTAATATTTTGTGCTATGAGTGTACTGCCAAAACCAAATTCATTGGGCGTTCTTTTTAACAATCGCAATTCAATGCAAGTGAAGTTGGCCAACCCCTGATTTTGTTCTGAAGAGTTTTGCAGGAGCAAGGAGCCAACCTTCATCACGTATGCACTTTTGACAACGAACGCTGGGAGTACATGCCGTTTCTCGGGGTTCCACGTGGCAGGAAGCATGTACGCATCCGACCCGTGTCCCAGGGTGTAACTTTAAAAGGGACCCTTTGGTGGACATCACTTTGATGATTTGCCCTGTCTGCTACATGGGGGTCGGCAGGCTTTAGTGGACGGAGAACTCGCCAAACCAGAAGGGAGTTCAAAGGTGCTACTGAACAACTGGGAGGTCCTAAAAGGAGGTGCTAAAAGCTATTGTAACTCATTGACACGCGCCCCCGCCCCCACAAAACAAAAAATGGCTTCAAGTGGGTGCTACTGACCTTTGCCCAGACCTCCACTGGCCAGGAAACAACAGAGATTGTTCGAGCGAACCAATAATAGAGACCCGTGGGAAGCAACCCACCAAAGTCGGGGGAGGGTGGTATGTGACTCCGAGCCGCTGCGCGCCCCACACGAAGAAGATGAAGGCGCTGCAGAAGGCAATCTTCGCGCGGCCGCCCGCCGCAAAGTCGGTTTTGTCGACGTCCCGGGCCACAGCCAGGTTCACGAGGCCCACAAAGGCGCAGCCGACGCTGTGCCAATCCTAGGCATGTCCCAAGAAACCCGAGTCATGGATTTGTTTTTTGAGTTTGTACCCTTTGCAAGTTGTTTAAAAGTGAAAACAAAGAGCAGCAAAGCACTTCGTCGGGTCTCCCCGAACAAGGCGAAATTAGATACTCTTCGACAAGGGGTGCATCGGTCGATAAGGGGCTTGCCGACAAACAACAAAAACAGGCCTCCAAGATGTCCAACCAGCAAACAACTGCCAAAGGGAAACTCATTAATACTTGTCAAAAGCTATGTTTGAATGAGCTAATTAAGAGGAACCCTGGTCGACTTGGACTGCCCTTTTTGGGTTCTTCATGGAGGAGAACCTCCTCCAAAGGCTTCAAAGATCACTCCGCAACTTTCACAACATCACCCTTCATAGGTGTTGGCCATGACCCATGAACCCAACAATTGAATCCTCGAGGCACTTCAGTTGGACTCCGAAGCTTAAGACAAGCGCCAGCCTTTGAAAGTGACTTGCCTCAATACCGACAAAAAAGGTGCTAGACGGAAAGGGCACGCTTCCACCCTTCGCATTGACTGGCAAAATAGAATTCGAAAACTGCGTAAATGTACTAAGTCTAGCACAAAATCAAGGATTGATGGATTATTCGAATTCAACAGGAAGTTCACAATGTGGAGGGGCCTTTGCCGAATTTAACGGATCAGCTGGCACTTGTCACCCTTTGCTCAATTCGATAAATAAATCAAGACAACTACAAACGTAACGGCCAGGAACACAAGGGTGTCAAACTCGTCTGGTTGGCATCAAACTTGGAAAGGGACCCCTCCCACCAAAAAACATAATTCCGGGGTTCGTACCCAAATGCGGAAACCCCCCGAAACGGGTTCCGGTTCTCGTTGGGCTTCCCTTTTGCCGCACACCCCGAGGGGTATCCTCAAAAACGGCAGCAACAAAAAAGTCCACCAATTCAGGCAAAAGTCCTTCCAAATGGATCCGAAGGTACCCAAGTGGTACCTCACCAGGTGAGAGAGCTCCAGTAAATTGCTCATTTGCTGATTGAAAGGGAAGATGAAGAAAACCCAAAAAGCAACAAAGCTAGGCAAAAGTCTGACATTCTGGTAATGAACCAATTGGTGTCGTGCCGCTAGGCGTGAAAGTGGCACAACTGCAGCTCACTTGCCCCTCTGGGCACAACCGATCGGCACACGCTCACACATTCCGCCTCACAAATGCGCCCCTTGAAAAAAATACGAGCTCCTTGGAGTATTAAGCACTGCAGCTGCAGGGTTTCTCGGCGGGAACTTGAGGTTCCTTGATGGCGGTGCAAATTCAAGACACAAAGGTCGGTCCAAAAGGAAGCATCTGGGCAAGATGCTCTTTGGGTTCGACGAAGAGGTTCATGAAGACTGGAGTGACCTGCTCACTCTGGATGAGGGCCGCAAGCCCAAGGCCATAGCAGGCTGCCCAGTCGAAAGCCATGGCAGGAAAGGTTGCTACGTAGCTGACTGTGAGCAAATCGGCGGTTGAAAGATAGGGTACAACACCAATGACGTGACTAATGTGGCTCATTGGGACTGAGTCCATGCTTGAAACGTCGAGCGCAAAGGACTATTGTTGAGTCTAGGTTTAGCTGAAATATTCGACGTTGACCAGCATTCAGAATTCTGACTCACCTGAATCGATTTCACGAGGCATGATGTGAGCGTTTCATATGACTTGACTAGAAAAACACCGCGCCTGTTTCTGAGGAGACACGTAAGGAGACTCGACCGGCTGGACCAGGCACTGGCACAGAAGGAAGCTTGCCAGTGAAGCTATCTTAGTGAATGCAGTGTTGCCCAAAAGTGTAGAAATCCCCTGTTCAAGTCCCCAAGAGCCCCTTTAGTTGCCTGACAGACAGGCAAAACCCCTTCGCGAAACCTTCGCAAGCATCGCGAAAAAAAGCGCCTGGTTCGCCTCCAGGACCTTCACCTTCTGCGAGATGTTGTAGGCTTCGCCTCGGGTCACTGCCATGTGCCTTGGTTTAGAAACCACACACACATGCACGTTTGCCAGAAAACAGAAGCGGGCCTAGAAACCAGTCCAGCAGAGTCTTGGTGCTACATGCAACGCTTCGACCCCCCAAACAATATTTGCAGGACATGCTCAATGGAACATGGATGGTCAGCAGGTTTTGACACGGGTCGATCCCTGCTGTAGCAACATCATGGAGTTCATGTCAAGCTGTCGTGAAAGGAATGCCATCCCTTAAAGGATGCGAGGCAATTTGTCAGCGCTCTTGCTTCTTTGGTTGTTAGGGCGGGATTCTACAGTAGACCCACTTGCAAGGGGCCTAGAGATCAAAGCACCATTGCCGCTACACCGGCTACAAGTGCATTGTCCCGTTCGCAGCTCACACGTCAATGCTCTTATACTATATATATATATATTATACACAAATCATTCACTTTGTGCTTCTATGTCCTTTCCAGCGAAAGCGTCACCAAGCCAAGAAGCTGGCAAGTGATTGTTCAACATGACACGCACTTTAGTCGGGCTAGCCTGCCCAAAGGCTCGCCATCTCAATTTAAGTGCCACAGGGAAACCACCTGTTTTGGTACTTGGGGAGACTCTTTGGCGGACATTATTTACATGGGGATTGATGTCCACCAAACACTTTTGACCGGGGTTCGACAGCTCATAAAACTCCGCCACCGCCACGCCCAAACACACCACGCCTCAAAAAGAGACTGCTCCCAGTTTGGGTCTATTTCGGCATCTGGGACCTCCAAGACACGCATCTTTACTCTTCCGCATGGGGTGTTTGTTTGCGTCCCAAAAAGGATCTCATCACTCAGCGCCGAGCTAGTCTTCCAATCCAGGCGACGATGTGCCAGGCGGCGACCGCCCATCCTTGGCTCGAGTTTATCTTGTGCGGGCCGTGGTACCTATGTGGGGGTGTCTCAACACAGGGGATCACCGCAATGTGTGGTTTTTTGTTTGGTAGTCTGTCATATAAGGTGAAAGGGGTACAATACCCTGATGTCGGTCATGGTCGTGGATTTTTCAGGAATCCCTACAGTGTCTAAAACTCCTAGGGTATGACCATCCAACACGTCCTTCCGTTGCTGGTCAAAATCCACTTATCAGTTGATAGGTGGTTTGTCCCAGTATTTGTGAAGTATGTCAGTCATGGTCATGGTTCCCTGAGTAGGAATCCTACAATGTCCGAAATCCCTAGGAATCAATCACCAATCCGACTACATGCAACAAGGTGTTTTGACCAAAAGACAGATTGAGCCCAGGTAGGTCCAAGGGCGTGGGGAAAACGGGAGGCTTAGGGGAACCTTTGGGTTTCATAGGGCTCCTGGGACGAAGAGTGCCTGTAGGAGAGAAGCCTAGGTTATGAACCCCAAGCGCTGCATTGGTCTGTCTTGGCCTCTCACATCAAATGGGAAGAAGAACAACAAATGGGGCAAACAAGGTGCTGTAGAACACGTTCTCCGAGGCGTCACAGAACAAGCACTGTTAGAGGAGCAAGTGAGGCGATGGAACCATACATAGATCGTTTCAAAAGGGGGCCAGCCAAACCAAAACCGATCCCTCGGCCACGAACTAAGGGCTGGTTGAATCTTTGGCTGTGCTTCAAAACCAATGGGATCCCATTTTAGGGTAGGTGCACCACCCTTTTTGGAACCTATTTTAGTGGGGATTGGACTGTTCACTGGGGGATAACTGGGATTTTGACCCATGGCCATTTCAGCGTGGGCCACGCACAGTTCCAATAATTCCAATTAAGCTGCGCCCAAGACCTATTAACTGGTGGCAGAAACCAGCATGGATGTTGCTTCTGCCAGCATGGATAGAAAGGTATGTAGAAGCCTGACTATAACCCCTAAACCAAGCCTAAATGGCCACTATGGAATCGGTCTTGGGCGCTGCTCAACTGGAAAACTGCACAAAAGACCTTTGTTCCTTGCACAAAATCGCGCACGGCTCGAGAGATTGCCCTTGAATTGAACAGGCCGAACAACTGGTGAATGCGAAAGATCGTCCAAACCTGGAAAGCGGCAGTAGTCGTTTCCCGACGAGGAAAAAGAATAGTTGAGCGCTCCCTTAGTTTGGTTGTATCCGCCGACAACAGGCGGCGTGTTGGACATAAGAAATGCTCCTTACCTCTTTACCTGTTACCCCTCCCCCAACATTGCGGGGGGGGGGGGTCCACGTACCACGCGGTGATTCGAAGACGCTTCACTAAATCTGTTCATTGTGCGGGCTTGCGCAACTCAGTTTGTCAAAAACATTGGGGTGTTCGATTCCCCCCGGGTGCGCTTTCGCATCCTTAGCAGCTCCAGCGGCACATCGCCAGCATCACCTGCATCATCCGCATCAGCGCCTGCCAAGGATGCGGATGATGCAAGTGATGCTGGGGATGTTGCCTATGCTGGTGAACCCCCCCCAGTTCCTTGTTGAGATCATTTATTTCCCCCCTTTTCCCCACCCTCAGTCTTCTCCCTTTTCCTCCCAAAGATCTTTCCCCCCCTTTCCTCCCTAAGTCCTTTTCCCTGAGTTCGTCTCCCTTTGCCTCCCTAAGATCTCTTCCCCCCTTTCCCGCTTAAGATCCTTGCCCCCGTTTCCCCCCTAAGGCCTTTTCCCCCCAAGATCTCCACCCTTCTCTTCCCAAAGTTTTTTCTCTCTTTCCCGATTGAGATCCTGTCCCCCGATTGCCCCTTAGGGCCTGTTCCCCCCGAGAAAGATTTCCCTTTTCCTCCCAAAGATCTTTTCCCCCCTTTCCCCCTTAAGGCATTTTTTCCCCAGATCTTCTCCCTTTCCTCCCTGAGATCTTTCCCCCCCTTTCGCTGTTGAGATCCTTTCCCCCTTTCCCCCCTTCATTTCCAGATCTTAGGGAGGAAAGGCAGAAGATCTGGGGCAAAAAGGCCTTAGGGGGGAAAGGGGAGAAATGATCTCAACAGGGCAAGGGGTGGAAAAGATCTTCGGGAGGAAAGGGAGAAGATCTGGGGAAAAAAGGCCAACAGGGAAAGGGGGGAAAAGATCTTAGGAAGGAAAAGCGAGAAGCTCTCAGGGGGGGAAAGGCCTTGGGAGGGAAAGGGGGGAAAGGATCTCAACAGGGAAAGGGTGGGAAAGATCTTAGGGAGGAAAGGGGGAAAGGGATTTCCCCCCAAGGCCTTTCCCCCCCCCATGAGAGCTTCTCCCTGTTCCTTCCTAAGATCTTTTCCCCACTTTCCCTGTTGGGCTTCCTATCTAAGTCCTTTTTGTCCCAGATCTTCTCCCTTTCCTCCCTAAGATCTTCCCCCCTTTCCTTCCTAAGATTGTTTCCCCCCTTTCCCTGTTGAGATCCTTCCCACCCTTTCCCCCTGAGGCCTTTCCCCCGCTGAGAGCTTCTCCTTCCTTAGATCTTTCCCCCCTGTCCCTGTTGGCCTTTTTTCCCCCAGATCTTCTCCCTTTCCTCCCTAAGATCTTTTCCACCCCTTTCCCTGTTGAGATCTTCCCCCCCCTTTCCTCCTTAAGATCTTTCCCACCCTTTCCCTGTTGAGATCCTTTCCCCCCTTTCCCTCCCAAGGCCTTTCCCCCCCCCCATGAGAGCTTCTTCCTGTTCCTTCCTAAGATCTTTTCCCCCCTTTCCCTGTTGGGCTCCCCGCTCGGCACTGCCTACTCCTAATCTAGAGTGCCCGCTCGGCACGTTTACCTAAGTGCCCGCTCGGCACTCCTAAGTGCCCGCTCGGCACTTTTAAGTGCCCGCTCGGCACTGAAAAAAAAAGGCCGCGGGCCCGAGCGCTTTTTCCTCCACCAGGATGTACCCCGTCGAGCTGGCCACGCTCACTCCTGCGGCAGGTTGAACAAACGCTTGGAAAGCACGCGAAAAACAAAAAAACCCGGTCCTCCCACCACGATGTCCAGCACCCCTCATGCCCGTTCAAACATGGCCCAAAGCGGAAAAAAAAGGTGCCTTGCGCGGCTTTTTGGCCGGCGGAGATGCGGCGGCGGCGGCCTCTCAAAGAGGGATTCAAGAGACAACGGATGAGTCGATTCCCACCTCCAGCCGGACGACCTGGGCTTGGAGCTTCTGGTTCTCCTCGTAGAGGGCCTTGATGTCGACCTGACAGTTCACTGCTGAGGAAAAAAAGGGGGACACCGCGCTCCTTGTACCCCTCGGTCCACTTCTGCTCCGCCTCGAGCTTCGTGAAGAGCCGCAGACATTCCTTCTCCTGTCATCCACAACGATCCGCCAGCCGGCGAAAAAAAACGAGCCTTCTCCACGAGCTTCGCCGCCGCGTCCGCGTGCTCCGCGAGCTGGCCGCGGAGGCACTGGATGGTGGCGTCCTGCAAATGTGAGCATGACCTTCATCCGTTTACCGTTGAAACTGCACCCGCCTTGACCGCCAGCTCGCGGCGCATCGCGTCCTGTCGACAACAAAAGGATAGCCCACAGCCCTCTCACGATACGGCGAGCCTTCTCGTCGTTGAACGCCTTCTCCCTGCGGAGCTTGGACGGCGGCTTCCGCGTCGCCGTCC